CAAGCCGTCTCCAAGGGATTGTTAGTTTGTTGCTAGGCGCAAAGTTACACAATATTACTACTGCTAAACCCTATCTTATAGTCTTAACCTGAATTAAAAAGACATAACCTTTAAAACAGTTCAAAACCAAACCATGCATTACCTTATCTCCCACTCTTTTCTCTTATATTCTCTGTCTGGTTTTATTGAAATGTAACTTTTCCTCATCTGTGCACCAGGGAACCTTATAAAATTTGAAATCTAATCTGAAAGAAGTATGCACGCGTATAGTATTACAAGCCATTTTCGTGCTTCTATATACAGTTAGGAGTAAACATAAACGCATCGATTAGTCTGCTCAGTATAAATCCCCCAATCTTGACAGTAATTTTTAAAATTAAGGCAAACGTGGCAGAAAGCGATAAGATTCAAACTTCGAACACTGGAGGAGGATTTGAAAAAGGCATGTTGGTGATTTTTCATTGTCGAAACTAATAAAGTCGAACAGTAGAGTTACGTCCCATTGAACAAAGGCAAACTCTCTTCCAGATAAAGTGTATTCTTACGAACCTCTGTTTCCAGAAATAATTTGACTACGGTTGAAAGAGAGTGTAGTCTATCGTACAGGGTGTTTGATTGTTATTCGCGTAGACCTAAAATGTTGTTACCTTTTTGAATGAGACGATAACTAAGATGTGCAGTGTATGGTTGAGTGAAAAGGATTACAAAACCACAACTCGCTTAATAATAAACCAATAATACTTATGTTGCAAGTCAATAAGATTAATGTTTAAACAATTTAAAGGAATTATAATTCAGCTTTCTTCCATAAAAATACAATAATGCTTTCTTATCTTAAATATAAATTATATTATTAGACTGTCTTCTTTACTTTTTTTTTCACGTAAATACACTTTCATACATCTGCAGTTGGAGAAGGTTATGCCCTGTTCCGGAACATTATACGATTCACTTAAATTTAAATTTCTGTGGCTTAGAACGTTTATGTTTTATTCGTTAGCTTAATATAATGCACTTTATTGGAAATATCTCTAGATGAAACAGCTAGTTCTTTGTTATGAAGTTAACATCTACATCTTTATAAGTTTGTCGTCTTTCACGAATATTACATAATGTAAGAATTTAAATTTAATTTAGAATTTTAATCACATTTTATTGTTATTTGAAACTAGAGTTGTGACTCTAGATATGCCGGTAGCGTTAGGATTTATTCTAATATTTATTAAAGACTTCAGTAAAGTGTCTAATTGTGTTTATACCATACTCATCCATTGCTGTATCATAGGTTGGAAATATAACTAATACCATTAATTTCCATTAGATATAACTTGCGACATTAAACTACGAAATTGTATTAAATTTATTATATTCTTTTTAGTAAAGATGAATATCAGTTAACTATAAAAGTGAAATGTAACTTGCAACGAAAAATCGCTAAACATGTTCAATTTCATACTATTGTCTCAAACTTCTAAATAATACATCTACGAGACAGGAAAATAAATATTTCCTTACAACTCTAATATTTTGCCATTTATTTTTCGTACTCCAAATCGGTTAATTGATATTGGAATTTATTCTGAATATTCCTTAACACGCCCCACCCCCCCAGTGGCACAGCGCTATGTCTGCGGATTACAACGCTAGAAACCGGGTTTCGATACCCGTGGTGGGCAGAGCACAGATAGCCCATTGTGTAGCTTTGTGCTTAATTCCAAACAAACAAATCCTTAACACGTGCATTGCAACCCACTTGATAAAAGTACAGTCCGTTAAGATCCTGTGTCGTCTGTGACTATTGCCCCTCAGCAATTCTGTTAAAAAAAAAACAAGAATGAGATTAAGTTGTTTGAAAGATCTGATGATTCATCTGCTGACTATCACTAAATGGTTCATCTTCAAATTGTTCCTGGTTGCAACAAAAAAAACACACACATCAAAACGTTATCTGATACACATTGTAAGACCTGTTTCAGCTTGCTCATTACGAGATCTTGTGTTTGTTCAGGAATCCGAGCGTTTCTTACCGTTCGAACAGAACATCTCGAGCTCTTCTCTTTCATACTTGGACATTTTTTTATTATTACTTTTATATGTCCACAATCACATATAAACAGTGGTGTAGAAAGGAGTTGCAAAGTGGGGGGTGCTTGGCTAGACATGCAGATTTTATATTGAAAGATTGAAAATATAAGAAGCTCATTAAAAGCAGCTCCCGTGCTGCCCAGAAAATTAATAACAAAGATATAATTTGCAGTCAAATAAGTAAAAATTCATACAACGATTATCATGAATTGTTTATATAAATCTGTTCAAAGAAAAAAAGAAAGAAGTGAATATATTTTTTTCTTTTGTTAGTAGGAATTAATTATGTCAGGTATTAGATATTATTAATTTTAAAATTTTTTGTTATTATTTTAAGTGGATTTCTGTCAGATAGTTCATATTCCTGATATTGTAGTTGAAAGCTGCAACAATGAAGATTTCACACCTATCTGAAGTCTAGTGCAACGCAATAATTTCGAAACTAAGTTTGAGAATAAGCTCATTAAAACTTTGATTTGCTAGTTTGTTTGAAGTTAAGCACAAAGCTACATAATGGGCGATCTGTGCTCTGCCCACCACGAGTATCGAAACCCGGTTTATAGCATTGTAAGTCCGCAGACATACCTCTGTGTCACTGGGGGGGGGGGGCATAAAACTTTGATAGAAGGCAAAAATGTCGATTTGTTCAATGATTATCCAGTTCTTGTCATTTGTTTTCAACTACGTGAGAAAACAGATTACTACTGAACAACTTTGGGTGTTTGTATGATTTGTTTGATGGGTTATTTTAGATCAAAGCCATATTGGACTATCTGCTATGTACACCGCGGGGAATCGAACCCTGTATCCTAGCGTTGTAAGTTCGTAAACTTACCGCTGTTCCACCGGGTACATGTGTTAATAAGAATTTGGTAAATTTATAGCATTTATAGTATTCTTTTGAAGTTAAGCCCAAAGCTACACAGTGGGCTATCTGTGCTCTGCCCACCACGGGTATCGAAACCCGGTTTCTGGCGTTGTAAGTCAGGAGAGACATACCGCTGTGCCACTGAGGGGTATCAGAAGAAGGAAGAAGTTGCGAGTAGATAAAATGGAAGAAAGATAAGTCAATGGGTGTGAAAGTTTTACCTCCCCCTCGCAAGGCGATTAAGGACTCCTACTGAATCAGTAAATAACAGCATATTTATCAAATACTAGCTGGAGTACCAGTCCTTTTGACGGGTGAAATAAAAACTCGTTTCTAACAAAGAATAGAAAATTGTGCTTCTATTTTTTAAAATATAATAAACACTCAAAGTGCAATACAAATACATAAAGGTACCAATACTGAAAAAAAAAGACATACTGTTTTCAAGAATTCTGTCAATATGAAATTAAATGATGGGTCCAATAACCCTCATGTCATATCATTGTGTCAAGTTGTGCTGATTTGGTAGTTTTCCGAAATTAGAAATGAAATTAGTTGGGGGGTCCACCCCACCCCCTCAATGACATACCTCATGTCATCCTGTATCACTGTGTCAAATTGTACTGATTTTGTAGTTTTTCAAAATTAGAAATGAAATTAGATGGGGATCCACCCCCAGCCTCCCTCAGTGACCTTCCTCACGTCATCCTGTATCAATTTGTCAAATTTGGTGCTGATTGATCGAGAAATGTGGAAACGTATAAGGAACAGATACGCACACATATATTGATACTTATTTTTAGTGGAAGGTGTCACCCTCGAAAGTTACATTTTTACTCTAGCAAAGAATAATATTACTTCAACACTGCAACGATTGGGCGTATACAGCTTTTGCCTTTGTGTAGAAGTACACGTTCCAGCAACGGCAGTATGCTTGAATATTGCGTATTTAAGAATGATTATAAAATTAAAGCTCAATTGTTATGAAATTTCATATTTCCAACGAAAAACAAATCGAGCAACATATTATTTCACATTTTTCAATTTTTACTTTAAAATGTGCATGGGGATTAGAAGATCCCTGTATTATCTAATTTTTTTTCATTCATTCTGTTTATATATCTAGAGTTTTCAACCAGCTTTTAACCAGGGATGAAATTCTATCGGTACTCAACGGTACTTATTTTTTTAAGGCGGTTCCAGTACCCGTACTTATTTGAGCTGCTTTGTCGTATTTTTTTTTATGTTTACACATAGATATTTTTTCTTTTTCAAAAATAGATCCACTTCACACATTTGAGTACCTCTAATTTTCTTCTGGAGAATTTCACCCTACTTTTAACCATTAGTGAATAAGAAATAGCCACACACGTGACAGTGACAATCGAAACTCGGTCTGCTGTGTTGACCTGCCAACGTGAGGCCAGGGATGAGGTCTGCGCATGTTCCCAGTATCAAAAGGAGAGAGACACGGTATATTTATGTTAGACTACAATTTGAAGGAAATGGAAAAGTTAAGTCTAATTAGAAATAAAACCATAGGTGTCCGCTAAGACTCTCTACCTGCCACTTAAGTTTGTACTCGTCAGAATATTATACGGGAGAAAAGCTTATATACGTATACAGATAATATAATATAGCACGTTGATTATATAATTTTTGTTGAGCCATGTGACACGTGCAAGGTCCTTACCCTGATGTCAGAATAAACAAATAGCCTGAGACGGAGATCGGTCTAGCGCGCTAATGTAGAAGACATGGTTGCAATACATATGAAATATCTGCTAGTTGATGCTTTATAGGTATAATTATTCTTTTCTTGTCGGCTGTATATTACTGAAAGCTTTAATTGAAGCGCTGGTCTTAATAGGGGTTTTACAACTGCACTCTGCTATTAAAATTCGCGTTCGACCAATAAAAACGTTAAACGTACATTGAAGATCTGGTCATAATTAACGGACATTTGAATCGTTCAAACAAACAGGTCGCTCGGGTAAAACTTTTAAAGTTGCACTGTGTTCTGTTTATCAGAGTGAATAAGTACACCCACGTTTGTGTATGTAGCGCTGTTATAGAGGAGGCAAAGCAGGTCTGAGGCGCCCTTTTCTTTATAACGTCCAGGAGCCCTTGATGGCACAACTTATAAATTATATTTATCGCTGCTTTCTTTCATGAGTATGGCGTGGTTTATGAACCCTATTTATTAGACCAATGCCGTTTTTATCAAGTAAAACGTCTGATTTTTTTTTAATTACACAAACAAAGCGTGGATTCAACGTTTTGTAAGTAAAGAGGTAGACAAACACTTTGCTGATATTTAAAAACTGTAATTGGAAAGATAGAAAAAAAAATGTTGAATCTTTGCATTCTCAATATTACACTGTATTCTGCATGCTACTGTACTAAATAACAGTATTATGGTGATTTTTGAAATATAACACACATATATAAACACTCGTGAAGAGTTGTAATCTAATTATACCCTAACTCACGACTATGAGAGGGTGACATATTTCGTGTTCACACTTTACATTATATTCCGGGTTTTTCAAACCCTTCCATGTGTCTAACGTTTCATCTTGCCCGTTGTAAGTAAAAACCGGGTGGAACAGACCAGTGGTTTTCGAACTGTGTTCTGTAGAACTCCAAAGTTCTATGAAAGGTCATCTGGCGTTCCTCACAAAGATAACAGGTAATGTTTTTTTTTCCGTTTTTTTTTTTTAATTTCTAAATGTTAACCTATTAGGGACCATATGAATTTTTTAAAATCACGAGTCTGTTGATATTCAGTCTTCTACATATAATTACATGCGCAAGCCAACAAAATAATAAATATTCGTGCATATATAAAATTGCCTATGTATATGTACGCATGATAAAAGAGGAAGAAGAAAAGCCTTCTAATGAGGGTTGAAGGTCGGGTTAAGGGTTGGGGTCCCGTGACGGAAGGAACGAAATAAGAGGGTTCCATGACTTCGAACAGTTTGAACTATCAAATGTACACAAAGAAACATCAATTTAAAATTCTGACACTACGGTTGTTGTACAAATCTACAATTTTTTATTTCTTCTCCGCCTTCCACACGACGGAGTTTTTTTTTTTTTTTAGGATTCTTCGTAGTCAGGATCATTTACTAAAATCAAAATGAATTATCGCTTTAAATATTTTCTTATTTCCAAGCTATATAGTTCCTAAAATCATCTTCTTTGTAGGAGACCATTTGGACAAGGCGTCGTTATTTAACAATGGATACAATCACCACATGGTGGCGCAAGCTGCTGCAGCGGCGGCGGCGGCGGCAGCAGCAGCAACTGGAGCGCCTCCACACATCAATCCACTACCCTTCATGGCACTAAACCACCAGGTGTCACACCATAATATGCTTTCTAGTACATTGTCTTCATCCTTCACAGTTCCATCTAGTCACTCTCATTTGCACGGACTTTCTCAACGAAGTGAGGGCGCTGGCGTCAAGGACAAAGCCGGACATGTTTCTGACATCCATTCCTCAAACAGGTCAGTTATTTTGTTTTCTCAGTTTTATTATAATTATATCAGTAGATTATATTTTATCAAAGTTCTGATCCACGTTACGAGGTTTGAGTGATTTAAAAACTTTATTTTTTCTAATGAAAAGTGTCCAAATATTTTGATTATTGATACTTTATTCAATTTTATCGAGAATTTCAAGAAACGACTTAAAATTCGAGACATAAATTAATTCATTCGCAGCAGTACAGAAGGTTTCAATATGTTACTTCTTTTCCAACTTATACAAAATCGAGTTTTAATTTTTTTCTTATTAAAACAAGCACATTAACATCCTAGTAAAAACAACAACATTTGGTAGTAGGTATTGTTATCGGAGGCCAAGTTAGTGCTAACATTTATTTGTTACTGAGCGTCAGTATGTACATCTATCTGTTTTTGTATTTTAAGTCTGATTGCTCATTGATTGGGCTCATTTAATTAGAATTCAAGCGGTCTTCGTTCTTGTAGTTAACAAATCAGGAACGTTAATAATGAAATTTAATAATTTTTGAAAT